TCACTCGAGGCCCAGTGCACAAAATTTGTGCACTGGTAGTGTCCCTAGTGGCTGCCAGCTCACCAGCCTGCCCCCTGGTCAAACTCCTGAAAGAACTCTGGTTGAGGGGACAATTTGCATACTACGCTTTTATTATATAAGATGCCTTTTGTGACTTTTTATTTTACTGTCTCTGACTAGGATTTCCAGTAAAATATGGAATGGAAATCAAAGTGCATTACATAATTGCTTTCTTCTCTGCTTGAGGGGGGGAAATTTCAATATTTTACCAGTGAATTCAATGTTAGCCAGTTTTTTCATAGATATCCTAGTACAGCTGAAGAAAATATCCTCCTATTCCAATAACAATTTTAAATGCTTATGCTTATTCTTTATGTATAACAAAGATCATATGATATAATCCTACTTACCCCACTACACTGCTAATTTTCAAGTGCTGAACCAACTTTGCATTCCCGGTATAAATACACTGGGTTTTATATATGGCATTTATGAAATACTGAGTTTGATTTGCTCATTTGTTAAGGATTTTTGTGCCTATGTTTAAAAAAATAATCAGCTCCTAACTTTCTTTCTCTGTAATGTCTTTAATGGGCATTATAATAGTAGGATAATAATGGGATGTGCAAAATGACTTTAAAGGGATTCTGGCTTCTTTTGTTTTATTAAAGGTTTTGTGTTAAATTGGTATAATTTTTTCCTTTCATATTGATAGAATGCACATTTGAAGCCATTTGGGTCTGCAAATTTTTATTAGAGGGAAGATTTTAATTAAAGCATCCATCTTTAATAGCTATAAGGATATTCAAATTTTGTTTATTTTTATTAATTAGGCAAATAGTCATTCAAGTTGGTATACTTATTGTTAGAAAGCTCTTCAAAATACTTTCTTATATTAGTAAATTTTGTATCTATTCTCAGTCAGTCTTAAGCATTTACAAACTTTACCAAAGACCAACTTTTGATATTGTTTTTTGTTATCTATTTTCTATTTTTTTATTTTACTCACTGTTATTTATGGTAATTATTTGTGTTTAATTTGCCTTCCTGTTTCTAGCTTACAAAGTGGAGGTATGGATAATTGTTTTTTAACCTTTATAAGTACACTCTTAACTTCAAATGCATCTCCTCCTAATCACTGCTTTAGCAACAGTCTGTAAGTTTTAATATAATGTTTTAATTTTCACCATGCTCAAATTATTTGTTTCTCTTTGTGATTCCCTCTTTGAACCATATGTTATTTAGAAGTGCAATGTTTGATTTTCATACATTTTAGAATTTTACAGATATATTTTTCTTACTGACTTATAATTTAATACTTTTATTTTTAGAAAACATATTCTGGATGATTTCAATACTTTGAAAATGTAAATATTTGTCTTTTGGCCCCCAAAATGGATTATATTGCTTAACATTCCATGTACACTTGAAAAGCATATGTATTCTGCAGTTGTTTCATGTAATGTTCTATAATATTAGTTTTGTGGAAACAACTTAATTGTCCATCAATGACTGAATGTAGAAATACGTGGTACGTGTATATACATATTATCTATACATAGGTATATATGCACAATGTAATATTATTTAGCCATGAGAAAGAATGAAATACTGCCATTTGTAATAACTTGATGATAGTATACAAAATGAGATAAATTGGAGAAAGACAAATACTGTATAATATCACTTAGAGTAAATTGTGGTTATCAGGGGATAACAGGGTAGAGAAATAGAAGGGATATTGTCTCAGGATACAAACTTGGAACCAGTAGTTAAATAGTACTGGAGATCTAAGGCACAGTATAGTGAACATAGACTACAATATTGTATTATAATCATCAAACTTGTTAATTATTCTTACCAGCAAAAAATAAGTATAATTAGGTTAGTTTATAGAGGTGCTAACTATGCTACAATAGCAATCATATTACAATATATAAATGTAATAACATGTTGTACACCTTAAATTCACATAATGTTGTATGTTAAATATATTTCAAATGTGATATTATCACTCTTTGCCATGAGGAACATTTAATAATATATATGGATTTGCATCTCTGCTATCAATTATTTTTGTGTTTCTAAAAATGTCCTTAGTTTTTCATTTTGAAGAGAATTTCGACTGTATGTTGAATTTTTAGTTATTAGATTTTTTCTAGCAACCATATAAAGTATTTCATTCTCTTTTATCCTCTATTATTTTGAAAAAGTAGTCATCCATGTGTCATATTGTATAATATGACCCTCCTCAATCTAGCTATCTTAAACATTTCTCTTTATCTCCTATTCACCAGTGTAAATACAATATGCCTAATTGTGGTTTTTCTCCTTGCATTTATACTGCTTGGGATTCTTTGGGTTCAGGGACCTATGGATTTATTTCTTTAATCAATTTTACAAAATTTTAGTAATTATACTCTCTTTCTGGCATTCCAATTACATTTTATATTTCATTTAATACTGCCTGAAAGTCTCAGATGCTATGTTACATTTTATTTTTTTTTTATTTTTTGATAATTTCTACTGACCTTTCTTCTGTTGTATTCAGTCTGCTGTTGGTATAATCAAATGAATTATTTCCAATTTAATATTTTTCAAGCTAGCATTTTCATTTGGTTGGTTGTTTTGAGAAGTTAGGAGTTTTCATTTCATTTAACATGTTTAATATTTATCAAATTTATTTTAAAGTTGCATTTGGTAATGTGTGAGTCTGCTTTTACTGACAGCATTTCCCTTGATCATGCATAACATTTTCTTCTTATTATGACTTTGAAATTTTTTTAACTGCTTGACGTTGTGTGTGAAGGACTAATAGGAACTTAAGCCATATTTAGCATCAGGAAAAGGAATATTGGAGTTGTCATGTCACAACTTTAGGCAGGGAGCTAAGTAAAGTCAACCTCCAGTGATTTTGGGTTTACACTTTGCTGTTAGTTTTTAGTTAGAGTTATTTGATCACAAGATGTGAATATTTTGAAGTCATAAGTAATGACATTTCCTTAGTGGGGCTTGTTATCCTATAACCAATCAGACTCTAATGATCTCTTTTTGCTTCAAAGCTTAGGTGCCAACTTTACAAAGCATGTATAAGTGAACCCCATGATAAGGGGGTAAGAACTCTGACTTACTACTTTTTTATGGGGTCCACTTTAGTCCCCATCATTCATCTTCTCCAAGTATCTTCACAATTTCTACTTCACGTTTGGACCTGTGGAACCTAAGAGTAACTATTTCTAATTTTAAATTACTCTCTATTTTGAATTTTTTAAAGCCCAAAGTAAGTTTTCTAAAAGTCATAGTCTAGACTTACCTCTACTATGAATACTTACGTGAAAAAGTGTACCCTCCCCAAGTCAGAGTGAGGACATCAGAAGAGATCACCAATGTGAAAATAGGTATGTCCAGTAAAATAACAATATGCTGGGGAGGGGGCTCACCATCAAGGAGAGTCACTGGGGCATCTAGAGGGCAGGTGAAATTTAAGGAAATGGAGGCCTGTCCAGGATAGAGGAATGAGGATTCACTTTGACTGGTGTCTGATAGGCCTGAGGGGATGCATTTCTCACAGGTTTCCAGGGAGCTTCTATGTCATAATAACCTATCTATAGTACTAAAAGCATAATATGCTAATTAGACCGGACCTCCTTCCAGACAAAGCTGTGGCTGCGAGGGAAGCCGGTGCCCGCAGCCAGGGAAAGGAAGGCCAACTCTTGCACAAATGTCGTGCATCAGGCCTCTAGTGTGTATATAAAAGAACTGTAATTTCATTTTTGTAAGCCAGTGAAAAATGGGTTAGGTAATAAAGAGAACTGAGGTAATAAAATAACAAGTGGAGAGCAAGGCAAGGTGTACAGAGTCCTTTCAACAACAGATGTGCCTTAAAAAAGGTAAGTGACTTGCCCAAGCTCAATATAGCTAGTGACTGGGGAAACTGGGATTTGAACTTTCTGATCTGTGCTCCAACTAAGTTCGGCACAAGAAGCATAAAACTAGAATAGGTTCATTCTCTCTTCGGGGAACTGATTGTCTCATGTTTTATAGCAACCTCATGTCCAGGATCCCTGTTCTCACTCCACTCAGCTTTTCATCTTGAATCTGGTTGTAATTTAGAGACTAACTTTTAAGGGTAAGTCCTATGCTCATTTAATCATTAAAACACTTGCATTTTGGCAGATTGGCCAATGCATTGTAACTGTGAAATATACGTTTCCATCATTTTAATCCGGAGTGAGGACTTTCACTGCAATCAATATTCAATGAGAAGTTCTGGTTCAAGATCACAATTTCGATGGACCCTGAACTCACTTTTTCCCATGGACACAATGAATCTACAGCTACGTATGGAAGTTTCCTCGGGAAATAAAATACTAGCTGAGAAATACCTTCACATTCAACGAACAAGAAAAAAACACCTTGAAGCAGGTATGAGAGGCTGAGACATGATCTCACATTACATCTTCTTTATCCACTCATATATCAATGGACACCCGGGTTGCTTCCATATCTTGGCTATGTGGTATCAAAAAATCCCCAAGCAAAATAGACCCATAGATAGTAATGGTTGCCAGAGGGGAGAGGGTGTGGAGGGATGGGTGAGAAAAGTGAATAACGAGAACAAACTTTCAGTAACAAAATAAATAAGCCACGTGGGTATAGTGTACAGTATAGGGAGTGTGTTGATAATATAACTTTTCATGGTGATCACATTGTAAGGTATATAAGTTTTGAAACACTATGTTGTACACCTGAAACTAATAGTAATGTAAGCCAATTATAGCAATCCTATTAAAATATTCAAGTATAAGTTATGGCCTGCAACCATGTGAAAACTTTTTAATAAGTATCTGAACACTATCTTATTTTAAATGAATAAAAGAAATAACAGAACTATCACAAAGAACTTCCCTTCTCTATTGGTATTCATAAGACATATGTAGTTAAGAATAGTGAAATTTAATGTACAAATACATCTTTACTTACGATTAACAGAGATTAACTAACTCACAATTTCTAGATGACCACAGAGGTACTCTGCATCAGAGATCTTCTTCTTTTTAAATCCTCACCTGAGAATATGCATATTGATTTTAGAGAAAAGAAAAGGAGGAGAGAGAAACATCAATGTGAGAGACATCTTTTATTGGTTGCCCTCAGTACGTGCCCCAAGCAGGGATCAAACCCACAACCTTTTGGTTTACAGGATGATGCTCCAACCACCTGAGCTACACTAGCCAGGCCTGCATCTGAGGCTCAAACCAAAACGATAAAAATCTCTGGTGAAACAAAGATAAGTAAGTAAAGTATAAATTTTACTTTTTCCATATACTTGCGTGAAAATATAGGTTTTTATAAAAGCTCAATTGTAATAGTACATCTATGGTGAGTTTGTAGAAGTTTGACTAATAAGCTGTTGAAATTGTTCATATGTAAAAATTAGATGCTTCTGATCCAAATTTCATAGTTTTAATTATTTGAATTTGTCCTCAATATGAACAAAATTGCTTGAATAATCTCTAGAGTAACATTCTTAACAGCCAATTAATGAACTCATAGACTTACAAAAATCATAAGAAACGGAATTGAGTCATTAAAGTCCTAAGGAGGGGAATAACAATGCAAAATTACAAAGGAAGTTGCTAAAATGTTAATATGCATGATAATAAAGTAAGATGACAATGTTGAGGTTAATATTGGCAAGAAGAGATCACCTGGTAATTTTGAATTCTCAGTTAAATGAAGAGATAGCTGCAATAGGCAAAATAAAATCAACTGAAATTTTGTATTTTTCTATGATGATGGTCACAAAAGATTTCTATAGTAATTGACCATATATTTCTATCAAACATGGACTCAATTCTCTTTTGTCATTTCATATAGGAATTTATTGTGTTCATGTTAATCTCAGTTGAATAAGTTTTCATAAACAAAATATAGTGTTGAATCCACAACACTATAAAAACAGCATGGTCTACAAATGATACTTTAAATATAAAGATTCAATAAGTTGAAAGTAAAGGGATGGAGAGAACTATACCATGATAACACTAATAAACCAAAGGTTGGAGTAACTACATTATTTCCAGACCAAATTTTAGAAATATAATTATCAGAGATAAGGAAAGACAAAGTAACAATAAAAGAATAAATTCTCCAAGAAAGTCCTAAACATCTATATACCAAAAGAGGATTATCTAAATGCAGAAATAAAAATAGAATTGAAAGGAGACATAGACAAAAACATCATTTTAATTGTATATTTTACCATCTCTTCTTCAGTAATTGGTAGACAAAGCAGGCAGAAAAAGCAGTTAGGATAAAATTGACCTAAAAGCACCATCAATCGTCTTGATCTAATTGACATTTAAAGACTCCTCTATCCATCAATAGTATAATACACATTTTTCTAAAATGCATATGAAGTATTGAATAGGACAGATCACATTCTGGCCATAAAACAAACTTTGTATGATCTATGTTCTTTTAAATAATTTAAAGTATGTCCTCAGGCCATAATGCAATCAATAATTAATAAACTTCCTAAATAGAAACCATAGTGCCAGTTGATTTCACTTATGAATACTGTCAAACAATTAATAAAGGATAGCAAGTCTCCACAATCTCATCCAGAATAAAGGAGCAGAGGGAACAATGCTTATGAAACCAACATTATCCTAATAACATAACCAGATAAAGATAAAATAAAGGGAAAATGAAGATCACATCTTGCAACAACATACATACAAAATTTCCCAACAATGCATAAAGCTGTATAATCATGTGACAGTATAACCATGTTATATTTACTTCAGGTTGTCAACCTATCACATCAAGAAGCTAATGAGAGAATTTATATGATCAAATCAACTCATGCAGAAGATGAATTTCCCAAAATCTGACACCCATTCATGAGAAACCTCTCAGCAAAATAGGAATAGAGGAGAACGGTCTTAACCTAATAAAGACCATCGCTTCATGATGGTACAAAAGTTGGGGCTATATGGCAAGGACAATACACGGGGGAGAAGGATCCATTTTGCCCTTCTCCTTGCTCACTGTCTGGTGGGTTTTGGAGGGTGTATGTTCAATTATTTAAATTGATATTCAATTAATTTTCTGTCCCATCGCTTCTAAGTGTTATGAAGCACTTTCATTAGGAGGTGTGATATTTAACATTTATTGAGGATTTACATGTCAAACACTGTGCTAAGCAATTTACATGGATTCTGTTATTTCGACCTCAAAACAATTCTGACTTTTTAAATTATTATTATTGATCTCAGAGAGGAAGGTAGAGGGAGAGAGAGGGAAACATCAATGATGAGAGAGAATCATGGATCAGCCCCCTCCCGCACGCCCCACACCGAGCATTGAGCCGGCAACCCGAGCACGTGCCCCGACCAGGAATCAACTGCGACCTCCCCGTTCACAGGTCGATGCCCAACCACCGAACCACACAGGCCGGCTCTATGACTTACTTTTGATTTGCGTTTAGAGCTGAAGATCTGGGAAGTAAGCACTATGACTATTGCTGTGACCTTAGTGGAAGAGTCAGTACTCAAGTTTAAATATCAAGTCTAAATAATCAGGCTCCAAAGGTACCTCTCCTCTCCCATGTTGAACTACCTCTGGACAGGACAGGTGGGTATAGTTGCAAAAAGAAAACTTCCCAGTTAATTCTGGTGGAACCCAGGGCCTTCTCTCCTCATTGAGCATTCCTAGCGTAGGCCTTAAGTCTTTGCATCAAAGGACAATTATAGAAGTTTAGGAACTTCTGCCTATTCAGGTTGCCTATTATCCAAAAACAAAGGCAGAATTTACCACAATTGAAACCTTTTGTTTTGCTCAATCGAACTAGACTTTGATAGATCTCACTTTTTATCTTTGTGAACTTTTCCATGTCCTGGCCAAATTAGCTTTTTTTTTTTTATTTCACCATTATGGTAAAACAGAAATATTTCTGTCTAGGAGATTAAAACTAATTTTTAATTGAGAATATATTTGTTTCAAACCAAAAGTCTTCCTGGAATTTTAGTTTCCTATTTAATAATTCTAATACTTCTAAAACAAAAGATTAACATATCTGAAATAAAAATATTTAATAACACTCAGTAACTAAATTAATGTAAAATGGAATGCTTTTCTTGGTCTTATCTATGAAAATATTCTATATTGAGATGTTTATAAAGATAAATTGACTGTTTACTGAAGAAAAACACAAAGCATTAACCAGAAAACTATATTAACACTTGGAGTGGGGGAAACGAGTTAAGTCGGCTCGCGTGAATTGCGCGTACTCCGCGGGAGCCGTCTTTAACTCGGTTCATATAGATTTGCGGTGGAGTGCGGGAAACGTGTAAACTCGGGCCGATTGTAACTGCGTATTACCAAATATTTGTTTGTAATCCACCCTTTTGGTGGATGGAACAAAACCAAAAGACAGAGCCATCTTATATTTTGGCGGGAAATTCACCCCACACCGGAGTGTTAACTTCCTAAGTAGATAAAATTTTGTGCCAAATAGAATTCCAAATTATTTTTCTTTAGAAATATATGACTTGCTAAGGCACAATATAGTTCCATGTTTAATGGCAATTGAATATTTTTCTGCAAATTTTATAAAACAGACATCCAGAATATAAAAAGAAAAATAGTGAAAATAAATAAGAATACATTGAAATTTGACAATTTCAGGTGTGGGAGCAGGCATATTTAGAAATAAACTTTCATGTGAAGTATCTTTCTTTTAATGACTTACCTTTAAAAAGAATCATGGCTTAACTTTATCCGTCTCCCTTGATTAGTCTGCTCCATAAAATGTTTGGCAAACACATTCTTTAGTCATTTCATGTATATGATTCCAAACCTATTGTATTTATTAGGATATATACTAATATTTATTACACTAAAGTACTACTTTGATTGCTGACTTTGAATAACTGGTCTATAAGTTTATAAAAACTATGCAAAAACTATATTAGAATTGTATTCAAGTTAAATGGGCTTATTAGAGTTCTTTTCCACACATACATGTGTATTTAACAGTAAGAGCACAATAAATTCCAACGGTGATTATTAGGATTTATCTCCTTGTAATCTTGAAAAAAAAATACCTATAAAAACTGCTTATGAACCCTAACCGGTTTGGCTCAGTGGATAGAGCATCACCCTGCGAACTCAAGGGTCCCAGGTTCAATTCTAGTCAAGGGCATGTGCCTTGGTTGTGGGCACATCCCCAGTAAGGCTGTGCAGGAGGCAGCTGATCAATGTTTCTCTTTCATCAATGTTTCTAACTCTCTATCCCTCTCCCTTCCTCTCTGTAAAAAATCAATAAAATATATTTTTTAAATAAAACTGTTTATGAGCAAGATAGAGTAACTGCATCTGAATTTACAGCCCCCCAAACCACCAACTAAAAATCTGGACACTATAAAACAATACTTTTCAGGGCATTGGAGATGGTGCAATTAAGAGTAGTGTTCCCTAAAAGATAATAAACAGGATGAGCGCAATTACTGCCACAGTATCCTGTCCAGAGAGAAGCTGGAGACTGCATCACCATGAGGTGAACCTGGGCAGAGGATGGTACTGTCACTGAGTTGAGAGGAAGGCGAGTGCCTGGGTAGGACAAGAGGCTGGAGTTGACAGGGCAGAATCCTGAGGGCAGAAAGCTACTCACAGAATGCAATGTGGGGCTGTGCAGAGGGTCCTTTTTCAGTCTTCAGCTGAGTACTGATCCGTTTTCAAGGCGAGGAAACAACCATGTAAAATACACAGAGGGCAGCAACCTCAAAGCTCACACAGAGACAGATACAGTTCCTATTCCCACAGTGGAAAGCCTCATATTTCAGAGGCTATTGGCTAGATGACTCAGAAGGGATATGCCTTAGTAATGGGTAAAAATTGGACGTAGACTAAGACTAAACTCTGTCTGGTTCTGCTTAAAAAAAAACACCTTAAAAGCAAGACAGGTAGATATCACATTACTTTCAAGTAACATAACTATATCCAGTAATGAAATCAATACTATTTATAGGAATGCAAAATATACATATACACCAAGGCGTCCATTCAAAACTATAAACTATGCAATAAAGTAAAACATGGAAATATAAAGAGATGCAAATTTAATTCTACAGATAAAAACTGCAATATCTGATATGCAATGTATATCAATACTATTTATAGGAATGCAAAATATACATATACACCAAGGCGTCCATTCAAAACTATAAACTATGCATGTTAAGTAAAACATGGAAATATAAAGAGATGCAAATTTAATTCTACAGATAAAAACTGCAATATCTGATATGCAATGTATTGGGTACATTAGACACTAAAATATCAGTGAAATTGAAGACAGCCCTAGCCGGTTTGGCTCAGAAGATAGAGTATCAGCTTGTGAACGGAAGGGTCCCAGGTTCTATTCCGGTCAAGGGTATGTACCTCGATTGCATGCTGGGTCCCCCGCTCTGGTTGGGTTGCGTGTGGGCGGCAACCAATCATTGTGTATCTCCTCCTCCCTTTCACTCTCTTAAAAATCAATGGAAAAATATCCTCAGATGAGGATTAAAAAAATACTTGAAGACATAACCATAGAAACTATACAAAATAAAAATAAAGGAATATAAATATAAATTGGGCATTACTGCATTGTGGGACAAATTTGAGCAGCTTACTATAAACGTAATTAGAGTTTCAAAAAAGAGAGGTAAATGGGGGGGGGGATTAAAACAGAAATAATATTAGAAAAAGTAAAAGTCCAAATTTACTGGAAACAAAAACCACAGATCCAAGATGCTAAATGGACTCCAAACACAATGACATGACAAAAATTATACAAGAGTACATTATAGTCAATTTGCTTAAAACCAGTGATAAACATATCAAAGAGTAGTCAGAAGAAAAGCAAACAGTGTATACACAATTAAATTATTTAATTAATAGGCAAAGATAAAAATAACCTAGACTTCTCATAGAATATAAGTCAAGCCAGAAGTCAGTAGAGCAATGTCATTAAAATACAGGAGAAAAACACAACCAAATAAAAAGCTCATGCAGAATAATATGCCTGATAAAAGTGTCTTCAAAATAAAGGTGAAGTCAAAAACAGTTTGATACTTTCAATGGCTAAAAGAATTAATCACCTATAAACATTAAATACAAGAAATCTATAAGGAACATGTTCCAATAAAAGTCAAATGACACCAAATTTAAATCTGGATATACACATGGAATGAAGCGTACCAAAGTGTTAACTATTGGGATAGATAGGTTATTATTATATAAAAATATCCAAATGATAACGGTTTAAATAAAACAATAATACTGTGGACTTTATAACATGTGTATGACAAAAATAATGCAATGGCAAGTAGTGGTAAAATGGAAGTACATTTTTCTAAGGTTCTTATACTATGCATGAAGTAGTATGGTATCATTTGAAATGATACCATAGTAGACTGTGATAGATTAAAATGCATAATGTAAATGTAACCAAATACTAGAACAAGCAAACAATGTTATAGCTAATAATTCAACAAAGGACTAAAACTGAATCATAAAAAATACTAAATTAACCCAAAATAATGTAATACAGTGGAAATAGAACAGGACCAAATGTGACCTAGCATTAGGCTACAATTTCTTAAAAACATAATTAAAACAATTGATAAATTACATTTAATAAAAATGTTGGTCTTTGTAAATCACTATTAATAGAATATAAAAATAAGATACTAGTGAAAGAAATTACCAAATATTTGACAAAGAACTATTCTAAATATATAAAGAAATCTCAAAACTCAAGAAGAACATCAACTCAATTAGAAGACAAAATATTTGAACAGAAATGTTTATTCATTATGAAATAAATATAAATCAGAAATAAGTATTTGAAATGTTTTCAACATCATTAATTATTTAAAAAATTGCAAATTAAAATGTAATACTACTTTGCATTTTTTGCATATCTAGCATGAAAAAAAGACTAACCAAAGAAATCATTGGCAAAATTGTAGAGCATTAGTAAATCACATTTACTCCTTGTAAGAATGTGAAATCATAAACATATTTTGGAAAACAGCTTGGTTTTTCCTTAAAAATTAAATACATATACCTGGGCATATGTCCATGCAAAGACTTGCACACACAACAAATAGAAGGTGGCTTAGTGGAGAAATCAAGGGAAATATCTTAAGGCATGTAAAACCCTTACTTACCATCTCCACATCTCAAAAGGGGTAAAGAAACCTCTAGACTTTCTAAAATCTGTGTGAGAAAGAAAATATATGTGAGAAATTTGAATTACATAAGTGAAAAATCATATAAGTAAAATAAAATACCGTAGGTTGAGGATGAATATTTACAAGCATATTATATATGAAGAAATGATACCTCAAATATAAAAAATAAAGGTCTACTGGTATAAGTCTCAATAAGAAAACCATAACAACTAAAAGAAAACTTGTAAAATACACCAATATGTTTACATTATTTTAAATTTCAAACAGATATATATGTGTGTGTGTGTGTGTGTGTGTGTGTATGTGTGTTCAATTTCAATATTAAGAAAATCTAAAAGTAACAACTAGCTAGCCTGAATAATGTATATGCTGATAACAGATATTACAAGTGGTAACCCCTGCTTGTGTAGCACGTGCAAGGAAAGGGGCTTGCTTTTGAGGACTCATGAAAAATATTTATTGCATTTCATTACCTTGGAAAAGAAACCTCAAAACTAGCTACTGAAATTTAAAACATATTGATATTGAAATAAAATATAAAAATTTTATTGCAGCATCTCTTGTATAGGCAAAATATCTGGAAATAAATCTTGGGAATGATTATTGAAGTATAGTATATGAAAAATAAAAAAAATGACATAGCACTAATTGAAAGAATTTCTCAGATCCTATTATGTGAGAAGTGTAAGATGAAGAGGACACTATATAATGTTTCATAATTGTTAAACAAAAATGGCAAAAATCCATTTTTTGTGTGCTTTGTATATCAATAATGATATTATATAAACACGGAGAAAAGTACAAATCAGTTTGTTAACATTAGTAATATGGTAGGTAAAGGGAAAAAGAAGGTGAGCATGATGTAAATATAAATAATACCAAAAATCTTATAAAAATCAGAATGTGCATTTTCCAATAAAAAACAACTGCCTCAAGCTGGAAAGAGGCAAACCTAGAGGAAATAAATAAATGTCATTTTCCATGATACAAAAAAACAAACCAAAAAAACAGCCTTAACATAAGTCATAAAATATATGGGTGGGTAGGAGACCAGGGTGTATCTAGAAAAACATATAAAACAACATTATAAAAATATTAGTGGTGCTTCTTTCTGGAAATTGAGGACTATTTTTTGCTTCCTCCTTTATATTTTATTGCTTAATATTTTAAAATGACACTGTATTGTAAATTTAGTGAAAAAATATTACATATATGAAAGTAAAGGAGATTTTTAAAAATGATATTTGGGTGGAAATGAGTGGGGAGGAGGAGGTCAATCAGGGAAAAGGGGGACAAATGCAATAATTTCAATAACAAAAATAAACGTAAAAAAAAGTCTTATTTTAAAACCCAAATTATATGAACTTTATTCAAACTTGCATTTAAAAATTGTAACAGTTTAAGAATTCATTTACTCACATAACTGAAAAGCCGAAGGGTAGTCCCAGCTTTGGGCACTGTTGGTACCAGTACCCACGTAGTTTCATCTGGAATGTGTTTGTCTATATCTTTCTGTGTTGCTTTTTGTGTGTGTTGGAGTTATTTTCAGGCAAGGTCTACTAAAGGTTGATAAGATGTCCATAAAAAGGTCTAAGTGTATATACATCTACTAGTAGATGACAGTGTCATTTAGTTAATAATTTATTTTCTGTATCCAATGTAACAGCAAAAGGCCTCAAGCTGGCCTACGCTTGCTCTTACATGGCTTGTGTCATGTGCTGTAATTCTGTGAGTCTTGGAATACAATTCGCTCATTGGCCAATTCTTGGAGACAGAGGAGAGTTTGTATTACCTGATCCAGAGTTTCAGAATATCTTCATGAAAATAGAGATGTCAGCATCAAATGCACAGGAGTTGGGCAATAGTCCAAAGGGCAAAAGACTGCCACTACTTTATGTTCTTCCTAAATGAGACAAAGTTTAAAAGGTATAAAGAAAAATATAACCACCTAAATTTATTACCATCTCTACAAGATTATCATTATAAACATGATTAAAAGATAAGAGGCAGATTGAAAAACACATATTGCAATAAAATACTTAGTATTTATATGTAAAGTCCCTATAACTCATATGAAGAAAAGATATCAATAGAAGACAAAAAAAGATGAACAAAAGCAGGAATTCTCAGTTGAAAATGCTCATGCCCAATTAGTGTATAAAAATACTTCATTAATCATCAGTAATGCAAATGAATGTGATAAAAAGTTTTCAATTTTTATTCAGTGTATTATGAAACTGGAAATATAATTTATTATGGTAAAACAGTCTACTAAAACTAGTGCTCTCAAAGTTTATGGAAGTATAAATTGGTACAGCCTTTTTGTCTGGTACAACTTAAGGTTGATAAGATGACAGTAATTTGTCAAAATTGAAAATGTGCATAATATCTACCCTACAAAAATATTCACAAATACACTCAAATGTGTATTTATATAAGAATGTTATTGCAACATCATTTTTAATAGCAAAAATAAGAAAATAAATATCAGTTGAATAATGATTAACAAATTATGGATGCACATATTTAGAAAGATATCAAAGTCCATAAGAGTATAAAATAGCTCTATATAAATGGAACCATATAGCTCACTAGACATTGTATGACTGATTTTATTGAAAGTAAATCTGCATTTATGTGCAAATACACATTTCCCCCACTATCCCTATCTGTGTGTGTGTGTGTGTGTGTGTGTGTGTGTGTGTGTATGCATACAGAAAGAGTAGGAGAATGGGCATAAACTGTTGATAGAGGTTACTTATGTGGAAAAGTAGGAGAATAATGAGGGAAGAGAGAAACATTTCTAAATGCTAGAGTTTTGGTGACATTTTTAAAATAAATTTTCAACTTATGGTTAGTGGAGGAAAAGTACTGCAAACGCTGGAATATATGAAAATATAAACATGCCATGGTTGCAGAAATTATAAAAATAATCTTTCTGAAGCCTGTTGTTCAAAGAAACAGCAACTATTGCTTTTGTTCTTACCTTCATTCCATAGGCAAGCATATCTTTTATACTCTCACATCCTGACCCCATCTCCTCTCTCTACCCCTAAGCATCCTAGCACTGGGAACACATACAGAGATGAAAATGCTAACAGAAGCAGATCTAGGCCATGTTAGCATGGTCTCTATGAAGATTATCTCACACTGGGCAATTTATTCCCTATGATCAACACACCATTAGGAATTTATTGGCTGTTATTCCTTATGTCTTCTGAAATTGTGAGACCTGCCCTAATAGATGGAGCTGAGCCTAGCAGACAACACACTTCCTCTTGATACTCACCATCCTAGCGTTCCTTTTCCACTTCAAGGCAAGTTAACTATTTTAATGGTTCTTAAATTTTTATTATTATATGAATAAATAGATAGTGACCAAAAAGTGGGCTACAGCTTGCCAAGATTTCTCTTTGGTGTTTCTGGTGCATGCAGGGCTGAGCCAATGCTGGCTGGTTTGCTGCTGCTCAAGAGCAACAGGTTGAGCTGCTTGTGGGCCATGGCCAATAGGAGGGCAGGGCAGCTCTGTCTGGATCAACACAGAACAAGGATGTTCTGCACAGCCCCTCCAGAAAGCTATTGAATTTAAACATGCTTATTAATGCATCATGGCGAACTTATTAATTTATTTCAAATATATACTTTTGCAAAAACTCACTTTTCTCAATCATTATTTCATTTCATACTGAAGCCAAAAGATTGTTTGTGAATACATATCACAAAGTATAGACCAAGGTAGTATTATGAGTTGATTTACCAAAAGGAGTTTTTGCAAGAAATTTTAAGTAAATATTCAGCATAAAAAGTATTTTGCATCTTAATTCTAAGATATATGGCTCACAGTTTAATTTTGTTCTATACTCTAGCATATGGGTTCAGAGTTATTGAATTTGATTACTTAAAAAGTACTGTCAGCTTGATCATTCTTTTTGTAGTTTTTGTCACCTCCCATTCATTCTTGTTTTCCTGTGTTTGTTCATAGTCCTGTTATTGTGCTTTCCATTTTTTGAGTAAAGTAATTTTTCAAAATTATGTTGCTAATTCTGTGATGATATGAAAGTTGAGTCTACACGTGCCTTGAGGGAAGTTTTTGATATCCAAACCTTGGAGTATTTCAGATTTTGGATGAAGGAAAACTAAGTTCCTTAATGTAATTTTAATGTATCATTTAATGACTGCAATAAATCCTGATGTATTTTTTTCTTTCTACAAAAGAGAAAATATCATTACCTAATATTTAATATGATTCCTCAATTTGCAATTGAGATTTCAAGTATGCATTTTTCTGTTCTTGGTACCTAAACTGCTTTATTGTACAAAATATATAGCTGTGAAGGAATTTTCTTTTTTCACTAATGAACAAAATAAGAAATAAAATTGCTATATCTAAAGTTCTAAGTCAAAATTATTTCTTTCATAATGATCTATTTTTTTTTACATTTATGCACACTAAAGCAAATGCGTAAACTTCCTAGCTTTTTTACCTCACATGTTTTAAGCTCATTTCTATATTGGGAAACCATGCTTTTTAAGCTAGTAGAGTTATGTGAGGGAATAAGAATTGTATGTTACAAGAAGATACTATAAAAATGTTATTTGAGTTTTAGAAAGTTTTAATAGGAGTCCACAAAGGAAAGGTCATTGCATGGTAATTTATGACATGATGAGAAAAAATGAAAATATTGTCCTATTATTTAAAAACTAGAGGCCCAGTGGACGAGATTTGTGCACTCCAGGGGTATCCCTCAACCCGGCCAGAGCCCTCTCTCAGTCCCAGAGCCCTTGGGGGATGTTCGACAGTTGGACATCCTTAACGCTGCCGCAGAGGTGGGAGAGGCTCCCACCACTGCCACTGCACTCACCAGCTGTGAGCCCGGCTTCTGGCTGAGCAGCGCTCCCCCTGTGGGAGCGCACTGACAATCAAGGGGCAGCTCCTGCACTGAGCATCTGCCCCCTGGTGGTCAGTACGCATCATAGCGACCTGTTGTTTCACTGTTTGGTTGATTTGCATATTAGCCTTTTATTATATACTAGAGGCCCAATGCATGAAATTCATGTAAGAGTAGGCCTTCGCAGCCCCTGCTACCCCAGCCCTCACAGCCCCCAGCCCTTACAGCCCTGGCTTCATCTGCAAGGTCGTCTGAATGCTCGTTCCGCTGTTTGGCTGTTCAGTTGATTTGCATATTATGCTTTTATTATTATAGATGCCTGCGGGATAGGGCTGAAACTGGCTGACATCACCCGAGGGGTCCCGGATTGAGCGAGGGTGAAGGCCAAGCCGAGGGACCCCACAGGTGCATGATTGGGGTCGGGGAGAGATGCGGGAGGTTGGCCAGCTGGCGAGGGGCCACGGGAGGGCTCCAGGGCATGTCCGGCCTGTCTCACTCAGTCCTGATCAGCCAGACCCCAGCAGCAAGCTAACCTACTGGTCAGAGCTTCTGCCCCCTAGTGGTCAGCGCATGTCATAGCGAGTGGTTGAGCAGCCTTAGCATATCATTAGCATATTACACTTTGATTGGTTGAATGGCCAACCAGTCGACCAGACACTTAGCATATTAGGCTTTTATTATATAGGATGACTAGAGGCCCAGTGCACAGATTCATGCGCTGGTGGGGTCCCTCATCCTGGCCTGTGAGGATGGGGCAAAACCAGCTCTCCGAAATCCCCCGAGGTGTCCTGGATTGCGAGAGGGCAGTTTTCAGGTGACACACCCTGGAATCAGGCTCCCTCCTCTCTGGTTCCGGGTGCGTCACCCAAGAACCACAGCTGCCAAGTCATCGCAGCTTGGCAGCTCCTGCGTTGAGCGTCTGCCCACCCCCCCCACCCCCCCCACCCCCCCGCCGTGGTCAGTACGCGTCATAGCCACCGGTCGGTGTGTCTGCCATCTGGTGGTCTGGTCACTTAGGCTTTAATATATAGAGATAATAATAAATTGAGTCACCTTAAAATGGAGCTGGAGGAAATGCCTTGCACTTCTTATGCCTCAAATCTCTGGCATAGTAAAGCAGGGCAAAATAACCTTTGTACTAGGACTAAAGCAACATTGTGCCTTAAAGAATTGTTTTCAAAGACAATAAGTAAGCAGTTATGACTATTGAACTAAAAATTGAAAACATTGTTTAGAATTAACGTCACTATGTTATCTGCACCAATAAAAGAACCTTCTAGTAATGTAATTATTCCCTGTCTCTTTCTCATAAATGCCCTTTGCTTTTGTCTCCTAATCGAAACTACTTGTGCTTTTGCCTGAATCAGTGCGTCCCAAATGGCTACTTTTATTGATCTTAACTAAATGCATGTTACATCTTACTTTGAAAAACCTTTTATTTTTAGGTTAGCACTATTTTTGGAACTAGCATATAAATTAAACAACAAGAATAAATAAGCATTACTGAAAGAAAAAGGCCAACCTAAATAGCAGTGTTTCACCTTTTTTTTGCAAAATGTATGGAAAGAGGGAGCATAGGAAAATGTTTTAGTTGTCCCATGCTCTTTAGAAAAAAAAACAACCCACCAATGTCCTTTTATTTTTTACTTTAATTTTACTTTTCTATTTTTTTAATTTTTTCAGTTATAGTTGACATTCTATATTAGGTTTCAGGTGTACAGCATAGTTTAACAAATAGTGTTGGAAAAACTGGTAGATATGGGAAAAAATGAAACCAGAGCATTTTCTTACACTATCTGCAAAATGGGTTAATGAGTTCCATGTAAGACCTGAAACCATTAAAGTCCTAGTAGAAAACATAGGCAGTAAACTCCTTGATGTTGCTCTTATTTTTTCTTGATATGTCTCCTTGGGCAAGAAAACAAAGAAAAATAAGCAAATGGGACTACACAAAACTAAAAAGCTTTTGCACAGCAAAGGAAATCATCAACAAAACAAAAGATCAGCCTACTGAATGG